CTTTCATTCCACTCCTCATGTTTATTCGTTATTCCATCCGCGTTTGTGTACCAAACCTTTAGTTTCTTTTCTATCATTGTGGTCATGCAAGAATATTGGGGTTGGGGGAGCGAGAGCCTTGGTGGGGGCCTATATGGGGCTGTGGTGTAGGTGGGGTTTGTGTTGATGGGGGTGGGGTCAGAATGCCCATAAGGGACAGCTGTTGGGGTGAGGTTTGTGATATGGGGGTTGGTGGCAGAGGGAACAGTGAGTGGGTTGTAGTATAGGTTGCTCAGTTGCGTTGGGAATGTCGCGGGTGGAGTCTTTTGGTGGGAGATTCTGTGGGGTGTGTTTGCCCTTCCTCCTGTGTCTGGGTCCTGCTCATTTTCATTGCTTCTCGTTCCTCCTTGCGTCTCTGTACCCTCTCTTTCAGTGTAGTCCTTTCTTCTTGTGTTCTGTCGCGGTCGAGGTATACTCTCTGGTACCCCTCTTTGTCCCTCAGTCTTGCTTTCTCTTGCAGAATCCTGGTTTGAATTGATTCTTCCTTGAAAGTTACTCTGACAGGCCGTATCCTTCCACTCGCAAACCACCCAATTCTCTGAAAATTTGTCACCTGGGTCATATTGCCCTCCCCTATTGTTTCATGATGCCTTCAATCATTTTTTTCTCCTCCTGTTTTATTTCTTCAAAGTTGGCCCCCTTGGCTTCTTGGAGCCCGTACACAAAAACTGACCTCGCCCTTTCCTCCTCCCACTGAGTCTCCATCTGCTTCCTCTGAGGCATTTTATTTCCTTCCATTGACATGTTCTTGCCTTCAGTCCCTGTCATATCTGAAACTTCTATTCTCAGTGAACTGTCTTTCCTGACCAGCTGTCCCTTGCTACTGCAGTTGGCTGTTAGAATCTCTGCATATAACAAACCTTCATTGTCTTCGGACCTGTCGCTTGATCTTAGTGTGCTCATCGTCTTTTCCCTGGCCCCACGTGGGTCTGATAGGGCCTTCGTGTACGGCATGTCTCCGTTGTTGCTTACCATCCCCTTGTCTGCGCCTGACTTTGAATTTCCTTCATTGTCTTCGGACCTGTCGTTTGATCTTAGTGTGCTCATCGTCTTTTCCCTGGCCCCATGTGGGTCTGATAGGGCCTTCGTGTACGGCATGTCTCCGTTGTTGCTTACCATCCCCTTGTCTGTGCCTGACTTTGAATTTCCCCTGATGTCACATCTGAATTGTCATTTGTCTCTCTAATCTGTTTCAGGCGTTGCAGTTTCTCTTCTAAGCACTGTATCCTAGCTTCTGCTGCTAAGACCTGTACTTCCCACTTCCTGCACTCTTCAGCTATCCGCTCCTCCATTTTCTTACCAAGCTCTACTATCTTCCTTCCCCACTCTTCTTCCCTTTTTTGGAGCTCTAACTCCCAGTCTTTCCTCCCTGGTTCGTCTACCAGATCTCTGGTTTTCCGTCCTCTAAGGCCACCCATATTTTTTTTTTTTTTCTTTTATTACCACAGACAGAAGGCTAGAGGAGGGAGGGGGTGTGGGGGGAGAGAGAAAGGGTAGAAAGAGGGAGAGAGAGGAGAGAGAAAGGGTAGAAAGAGGGAGAGAGAGGAGAGAGAAAGGGTAGAAAGAGGGAGAGAGAGGAGAGAGTATGGGGGTGAGGGATAAGACCAAGGGGGAGAGAGAGAAATGTGAGGGGGGAGAGAAAGGGTAGAGAGAGGGAGAAAGAGAGGGAGAGGGAGAGAAAGAGAGAGAGAGAAAGAAGGGCGAGGGAAAAGGCTATGAGAGAAATGGAGAGATGGAGAGAGAAGCCTATAGAGAGAGAGGAGGGTGAGAGATTGGGTTATGGGAGTGAGGGAGAGAGAAAAGGGAGAGAGGAGAGAGAGAGGAGAGGAGAGAGAGGGGAGAGAGGGGAGAGAGGGGGAGAGAGAGAGGGAGAGAGAGAGGGAGAGAGGAGAGAGAGAGAGAGGGAGAGAGAGAGGGAGGGAGGGAGAGGGAGGAGAGAGGGGAGAGAGAGGGAGAGAGGGAGAAGAGGGAGAGAGAGGGGAGAGAGAGGGGAGAGAGAGAGGGAGAGAGAGAGGGAGAGAGGAGAGAGAGGAGGAGAGAGAGAGAGGGAGAGAGGGAGAGAGAGGAGGAGAGAGAGGAGAGAGAGGGAGAGAGAGAGGGAAGAGAGAGGGAGAGGAGGGAGAGAGAGGGAGAGAGAGGGAGAGAGAGAGGGGAGAGAGAGAGGGAGAGAGAGAGGGAGAGGGGGAGAGAGAGGGAGAGAGAGGAGAGAGAGAGGGAGAGAGGGAGAGAGAGAGGGAGAGAGGGGGGAGAGAGAGAGGGAGAGAGAGAGGGAGAGAGAGAGGGAGAGGAGAGAGAGGGAGAGAGAGAGGAGAGAGAGGGAGAGGAGAGGGAGAGGAGAGAGGAGAGAGAGAGAGGAGAGGAGGGAGGAAAGAGAGGAGAGAGGGAGAGAGATGGAGAGGAGAGAGGAGAGGAGGAGAGGTGGGGAGGGGAAGAGGATGAAGGGAGAATGTGGAGGAGGAGAGAGGTGGAGATGTGAGGGTGTGGGGGAGAGGGAGGAGTCAGGGATAGGGTGATACATCCTATTGTTAAGGGGAGATAACGAGGGTATGTTAGTAGAGAGAATGCGATGTGTTAAGGCAACTCAAGTTTGTAATTTAGAGATACAATACTTGTGCGAATGAGCGGTCAAAATATCCAGAAACTGGTGTACTATAGTATTGAGATATCTGCGTCTGTTAGAACATTCCTACGCCCAGTTATGTATGTATTGTGTGTGTCGTGCGTGTGTGTGATGTACTGTTGTTGTGTGTTATTGTCCCGAAAGGTACAAGTGTGTCACTTAGCAACTTTTTATAAATCCTGTCTAAATTTCTCTTCACTAGCGTGTTAATATTTTTGTGTCAGTTGTGTGTGTGAAAATGCATTTTGTATGCCAGATAGTACTTACTTTCATGTGTACCGCAATAGCTAATGATACCAATTATTTTGAAAGTTTCTAAAATTTATCTCTAACGTTTAAAGTTATTTTTTTCAGTTAGTTCCTGTATATCCTTTTTACAAATTTGTACCAATTTATTTGCTTATCCAGAAAATTGTTAGTGTTTAGCAATGAATTACTATATTATTTATTATATATTGTTAGTAGTGATTTTGTAAATATTGTCGTACCGAATAAAAATTGGTGAATTAGCAAGAACTCTTTTAAAATTAAATCCTTTCTAAAATTTTCTCTTATACGTTTAAAGATATATTTTTTGTTCATTTATGTTAATGTAAAAATCAAAATTTTGTACCAAAAGAACCTTATTATAACAAGCGCAATTTAATTTAGCCTAATCCAACCAAATATATTTTAGATAAGTTTACAATAATTTAATAATAAACACAATTAAATTTATTTTTTTCGTTAGGTCCAGAATGATTTTTGCGAAATTATTGCGTACACAAATTTCAGTTTGCCTTATTCGGCAAGAAGAACATTGCTATTTAAGCCAAAATCGCAAGTTTTACCTATTCGGCACATTTTATATATATATATATATATTATATATATATATATATATATATAATGTCGTGCCGAATATGTAAAACTGGTCAATAAGCAAGAACTCATTTAAAATTAAGTCCTTTCTAAAATTTTCTCTTATACGTTTAAAGATATATTTTTTTCAATAATGTTAATGTAAAAAAAATTTAATTTTGCACCAAAAGAATCTTAGGAAACTTACCTAACCTTATTATAACAAGAACAATTTATTTTAGCCTAACCCAACTAAATATATTTTAGAGTTTTTTACAATAATTTAATACTAAACAAACACAATGAAATATATTTTTTTCGTTAGGTTCAGAAAGATTTTGGCGAAATTATTGCATACACAAATTTTCGCTTGTCCTATATAGCAAGATGAGCGTTGCTATTTAAGCCAAGATCGCAAGTTCTGCCTATTCGGCACGATATATATATATATTCTCAAAGAATGGGGGATACCTGGGATTGATTCATGGTTAGCGCAGCTCCTGTTCTTAAGAACAAGAGCCCTTCACGAACATGAAGGCTCGCCTTTAAAGGGTCTCTCGATGTAAGGACAGGTAGATGAGGACGTTGTTACTGCGATAAGTAGAAGTATACGAATGTTCAAGATGAAGGAGAGAAGAGTTAAAAGAATAATGAATGAGAAGGAAAAAAAAATTAATGGTAATACTACTGATGTCAACGAAAAAAAAAAAAGGAAAAATGAAAACACAAGAGGAGAGGTAATAATGAAAACTTAAGAAGAGAGGTAAAAATAAAAACATGAGAAGAGAGACAAAAGTGTAAACATAAGAGAGGTAAATAACAAAAAAGGCACAATACCGTATCTGGAACGATACACAAATAACCCGTGTGACTTTGTCAATGGTCCAAGTCGGACCGAAACGTCGTCGTAAGCTTCTCTCTTTTATGTGCGGGTTATTTGTGTATAATAGAGGTAAAATGCACTGCCTCACATACACCAAAGTCGCGCAAAAGATATGAAGTTAAAGAATGTCTCCAGGTGAAGATTTTCTGGAGCTCGATGCAGCATCAGCATTTTTTTTTTTTTTAACTTTATTTGACCATCGTCTTGGACTCGTCGTATCATCACCTGCCATGTTGTTAATCATGGAGACGGCATTACCATAACTGCGATCGCACAACAAATATGATTTTCAGTTATAATATAAACATGACACCTAAATAAGTGAACAATAAAAAAGTAATATGTGGGTTATGGAATTTAAAAAGAAAAACGTTTTGCCTACCAGGGACTTTATCAAAACTTGGTATATTTTACCACTGACAAACAAGGAACCTAAGTATCACTAAAATAAAGCCACAATACGGTAATAAATACAAGACAGAAGAGGAAGTAAACAAGAGTAGAATGACGTACCTTTCTCTTTGTCTAGGTGCGCAGGAAAACGGAATTAAGCTCACAATTTTACATTAAATATGACAGAAGAGAAGAGAGGCACTCAAGAGAACAAGAGCGACGTACCTTTCGCTTGGTCTCTGTGAAGGGAAGAGCCAGCCAGGGCATGCTGCTGTAGTAGTCGTGGAAGGCGGCTTCCTCCGTGTCACTACTCACAAAGATCACCTCCAGTTGGTGCTTGGTGTTCTCCTTGAGATGCTTGTACAAGGCCACCAGTTGAGGTGTGAACACCCTGAGAGACAGAACAGAGGAAAGTTAGACATCGTCTCAGGAACAAGAAAAAGGAGCACTGACCATAAATGGCAGATGGTCCAACTCTCACCAACCATTCTCTCTCATGTATGCCCAACTCTTGAAGTTCCCCAAAAGTATTTGTTTCATTGCCCCTAACCCGGCTGCTCGCTCCGAGGTTAGTGGTAGCTGCTGCTGCTGGTAGTGCTGTCGCATTTGTTGCTCCTGCTGTGTCTGCTGCTGGTGGTGCTCTCACAGTTGCTCCTGCTTCTGTCTGCTGCTGCTGTCACAGTTGTTGCTCCTGCTACGATTGCAGCTACTGTCGCAACTGTTGCGTCTGCTGCCCCTGTTAATGTGGACCCACTAAAATATTTTTTTTCAAGACACTAAGCTGCAATATGTGACGGTATGCAGATGTCCCATTAGGGTACTAAGACATGTGCTCTCTCTCTCTCTCTCTCTCTCTCTAAGGAGGAGAGCTTGAATATATATTTTTTTTATTACATACTTCTCCTCTCTTCCTGTTTACTAAATAGCCTTTAGGACAGTCCGTGCTTGTCTCTGTAATTTTGTAAGTATTTCGTGAATTATGTTCCACAACCATCGCGGGGCCTGGTCGTGGACCGGGCCGCGGGGGCGGTGACCCCCGGAACACCTTTCCAGGTGTACTCCACGTATATCAAATGATAAACAAAATATAAGTGTCAGGGCTTACCTTACCTATAATATCTTCGATGAGTTTCGAGTCTTCCTACTCCGAAGCCCGGCCATGGGCCAGATTCGTCTGGTGCTAGCTTGCTCAATCAGGCTGTTGCTGCTGGAAGCCCGCTGTCTCACATATCCTCCAGCAGCAACAGCCTGATAGACCAGGCCAGCACCAGACGAGCCTGGCCCAAGGCCGTTGGCTCTCAAGTCTCACCTCCACTACTATTCTCTATGTGTGCTTTCTTTCTGGTTACACAATGTACGTTTGTGGTCTTCACCACCTATGACTGTCGGAGTTCTTGCCACTTCCCAGCACTTCCAAGAACAGCTTTTGAAAATTGACCGCTGTCTGGAAAATCTCCCAATTCCTGCCCCAAACATCTTACTGCTGGGAGATTTCAACTTGAGACACCTAAAATGGAGGAGTATGGCAAACGATGTTTTAGCACAGATCACCCCAGGGGGCAGCTCAGATGAAAACTCGCACACACGAGCTATTAAATCTCTGCACCAAATTCACCTTAAACTAGCAAATATTAGAGCCTACAAGACTAGAAAATATGCTGGGCCTTATCTTTACTAACAACGACGATCTGATATGTAATATAACCGTATCAAAGACAATACACTCAGATCACAACATAATAGAGGTACAGACATGTATGCAGAGGGCTCCTGACCAGCAAAATGTGATCAGTCATGAGGGTGTTTTCACAAAATTCAACTTCAGTAACAAAAATATACAATGGGAACAAGTCAATTATGTCCTAAATGAAACAAGCTGGGAAGATATCCTAAACACCAAGGATCCGAACCTTTGCCTAGAAAAAAATTAACTCTCTGGTTCTTGAGGTTTGCTCAAGGCACATTCCATTAAGAAAAAGAGATGTAAACTAGAGAGAGATGCTCCCTATACAGACGAAGGCGAAGAATCACAGAGCTGCTGAGAGGGGTCAATATATCTGAAATACTGAGGGAGGCACTGATCAGTGAAATAGCAAATATCGAACTTAAGCTGAGGAATCTTACAGAAGACAAGAATCTCAGGAAGAACTAAAAGCCAAAAAGGAAACTGAAAAAAAAAAATACTTCTTCTCTTATGCCAAATCTAAGGGAAAAACAACATCCAATATTGAGGCCCTGCTTAGGCAAGATGAGACATACACAGATGACAGCAAAGAAATGAGTGAGATACTGAAGTCCCAATACGACTCAAGTGTTCAGTAAGCCGTTACTCAGACTAAGGGTCGATAATCTAAATGAATTCTTTATGAACGAGACCCAATATTTGGTCATTTCAAAAATCTCTGATATTATCATAACACCACAAGACTTTGCAAAGACAATAAATGGCATGCCCATGCACTCTGCCCCAGGCCCAGACTCATGGAACTCCATGTTCATCAAGAACTGCAAGAAGCCCCTGTCACGTGCCTTCAGCATTCTATGAAGAGGGAGCACAGACACAGGACTCATGCCACACTCACTAAACACAATAGACATAGTCCCACTCTACAAAGGTGGCAGTAAAGCAATTGCAAAGAACTACAGACCGATAGCATTAACATCCCATATCATAAAAAATCTTGGAAAGGGTTCTAAAAAACCAGATTGCCAACCCCCTAGATACCCATTAATTACACAACCCAGGGCAACACGGGTTTAGAGTAGGTCCCTCCTGCTTGCCCCTCCTACTGGACCACTATGACAAGGTCCTGGATGCCATACAAGATAAATTTCAGATGTATACACAAACTTTGCAAAAGCCTTCGACAAGTGTGACCACGACTACGGTGTAATAGCACACAAAATGCGTGATAAAAGAATAACAGGAAAAGTTGGTAGATGGATCTATAACTTCCTAACAAATAGAACACAAAGAGTAATAGTAAACAGAGTAAAGTCCGAGGCAGTTACTGTGAAAAGCTCTGATCCACAAGGCACAGTATTCACTCCCATCCTAGTTTCATCCTCATATCTGACACAGAGATGTAAGCCATAGCTCCATGTCTTCTTTGGCGGATGACACCCGAATTGCCATGACAGTGTCCTCCATCGAAGACACCGCAAGACTCCAAGCGGACATCATCAAATGGGCCACTCAAAACAATATGTAGTTCAATAAAGAGAAATTTCAACTACTCAGATATGGAAAACTTAAGGAAATTAAAACTGCATTAAGATATACAACAAATTCTAACCAATAAATATAGCGAAAAAGTAATATGAAGGACCTGGGAGTGATAATGTCAGAGAATCTCGCTTTCAAAGATCACAACACTGTATCTACCGCATCTGCTAGAAAAACGATAGGATGGATAATGAGAACCTTCAAAACTAGGGACGCCAAGACCATGATGATTCTCTTCAAATCGCTTTTTCTCTCAAGGCTGGAACACTGCTGTACACTAACTGCCCCCTTCAAGGCAGGAGAAATTGCTGACCTTGAGAGTGTACAAAGAACTTTCACGGAACACATATACGATAAGGCACCCAAATTACTGGGAACGGTTGAAGGCCCTTGATTTGTATTCCCTGCAACGCAGGCAAGAGACATGATAATATACACTTGGAAAATCCTAGAGGGATTAGTACCAAACTTGCACACGAAAATCACTCCCTATGAAAGGAAAAGACTCGGCAGGAGATGCAACATTCCCCCAATTTCATTGGGGAAATGTTGCATCTCCTGACGCAATAATTGACACAATAAGTGTTGCATCTCCTGACACAATAAGTGTCAGGGGCCCAAGACTGTTCAACTGCATCCCAGCATACATAATGGGGGATTACCAATAGACCCCCTGGCTGTCTTCAAGAAGGCACTGGACAGGTACCTAAAGTAATACCTGACCAGCCGGGCTGTGGTTCGTACGTCAGTTTGCGTGCAGCCAGCAGTAACAGCCTGGTTGATCAGGCCTCTGATCCACCACGAGGCCTGGCCTCAGACCGGGCCGCGGGGGTGTCGGCCCCCGAAACCCTCTCCAGTGAAATTTTGTATCAACTCCCAGATTCCTTTCTTAGTCCCAAAATATTAACACACATTTTATATTCTTTATGAGGTCTGATTTCGCTCTCTCACTTTCCCAATTACATGGCATTTATCAACAGTAAAGTACATTATACATTTGTCACTCTGTTCGCTCGGTTAAGAAAAACATTGTAAACATATAAAATCATTTTATTTATTGCTTTACACAAGGCTTTTCACATCATTTACAAACAAAATAATATAGTTCACTGTTCCTTCTAGTAAGTTATTTACATACTTGACACGTGTATATACAACTATTTGCTACAGGTATCTGTATCAACTCGCCCCAGGTATCTACATTACTTCCTGCAGGCATCTATACCTTCTTGATACATTTATGTATATCTACTTGCCACGGGTAACGATATCTTAATCCGATTCTGGTTGTCACTATCACACCAAACGGAAGTCTTGTGTTTCACATACACAAAAAAAAACACATTTAAATAGGCCATAGCGTTTTATAAGAACACTGTCCACGTGAAATACCTAGCACTCACCAATTTTTTTTTTTCACTTAGATAAAAGGTAAAGAGATGTTTGGGAATAGTGGATGATTGAAGGTAATGCAGAGTAACTGATAGCTGCTCACAGTATGTATATTTTATGTCTGGACAAAATATACGTATATGGGATCAAATCTGACAAAATGTCATTCCTCTCGTGCTGTATGATCCATAAAGGTTTAGTGCTCAACAGGAAATATAATAATATAATTTCTGGTTTCCGAGTACTGGTAAGCTTCCTAGTATTATAATATACTGTAACAGGAACTTATGATTATAATTACAAGGAAACGCTAAGTTGATACCCTCATGAGCTTCCTAAAGACAGTTCTTATAGGGGGCGGGTGAGTGGGAGGTAATCATGTTTGATATGAGGAAGCGGAACTTAGCTCTAAGTCCTCGGATAAAAAGCCCCTTGCAGGCATCAAGACACTCTTCTTGAAAGGTCTGTAACGAGCAGAATGGTTTAGGGAAAGTTAGTCTACAAGAGTAGTGTATCTGTCGCAGTTAACAGTGATGATCAAGCCTCCAGCACTCACTCTACTGAATGATTCACACGGATTTTACTCTTCACATAAATATAATACAAAAATTTGATAGTTCAGAGGATGACACCCAATTATGGTACATTTTAAAGCACCTGTACACTCTCGCTTATATTGTATTGTTCTCTCCTACACTCTCCCTTCATCTTTTGTGAAATAACCCGGCTAGAAAAAAGAACTTGTTGCATGCATGCTGAAATTAGCGAGAGTG